TCTGGATGTCCCGGGATGAAAATCCCGGGATTGTTACATTCTCCGGGATTACTGAATCCTGGGAAATAAATTTATAAATCCCGGGATCGCGTGAATTCCGGACAAAAAAAAAATTATCACTCTTTACCCCAGCGGAGCCCAGAACATTCACATCTTATAAAATATATCTCTTCCCTTCGTTTGTCATTCATTCTGATTTATCGAAAGTACGGCACACAGACATCACTTTTTTATATGATCGTTGTACAAGAAGCACTCGTGAAAAATACGATCTAGAAGTGAAACAAACCGTGAACATTTTTATTTATTTTATAATAGTGTATCTAGATGGTACATAAACGAAAATCAGGTTGAGCGTTGTGAGATGTCCATCATTCATAGTTGATCGAAAAACCATTGAAATGCATTGTTGTAAGGTTGGAAGTACGTAGTACGAGCAACAATCAATACGAAACTAACGATTTTAAATTGGCTCACTACTTGACTAGCCTATTGGTCCCAAGCAAACGATTAACGTACTCCATTCTAGTCGAAAATTCTAGTACTACGCAATGTTTGTTTTGATTCGCTATGAAAGTTTGGCAGATAAAATGAGGGGTTATTGGTTTTTCTTATGTTTCGAGGGGTGCATCGATTACTAGTGGAGCTACCTCTATGGTACTAGTCTCAATTGAGGAAAAAACTCAGTATTTGCAGTTTTTAGAGTCCTTCCCTAGATTAGCGAGCTGAATCTTGTAAAATGCTTACTCCTTCTGGATGCACTTCTATATGTCACCGTTTTCTATCCTGGCTTCCATAGCTCTCCATCGCTGTCATTTGTTACGCACAAAGGTATGCATTACCTTACCCGTTAGTAGGTATGTAATCTATGTAATCCTAAAGCACGAAAAAATAGTTTTAAAAATACATTCATTAGAGAAATCATCCACCATAATCATCATGGTCTGTACGGACTATTGTGAAATTTGGCTGACAAACATAACATCACGACACAATAGGGAACTTCTTAGATGTCAAGAGAGCTTCATTTGATTTCAGAGAACTTCATAGAAGTTCGTGAAACTTCGTAAATCTTCAGGGGCCATCAAAGATCTTCAGTATACTTCGTAGAATGTTAAACAACTTCGTGGACGATGATTACGGAACATCGCATGAATTATTTGAAAGTTAAGCAAGCTGGGCAGAAATTAAGTTGTACCTATCGAAAAATTAAAAGATGTAAGCTTTGGAAAAATCCTGGAAGTCCTGGGAAGTTCGAAGAAGTTGACGGAATATCTAAGGATTTCGTCGAATATTCTTCATATTCAGAGAACTTTATATAGGCTTTGAGTTCATGGAACTGAGTTTAAGTTCAAGAAACTTCTTGAAAGTACAGGAATCTTTGTTTAACTGATATTCACGGATTTGCGATGATATCTCTGGATATTATTCTAGACTTTTCAACATAATCAAGTAATGTTCTGAAGATCTGCAACTGTTCAAACATTCAAACGACATCTGTTAGACATCCTTCCAAGATGGAAGTTTGATTAGAGAGTATTTAAAGAATATGCAATTGGTCCGAGATTAAAAGTCCTCTGGATACTTTTCAAGACTTCAGGTTGATCAATTATTATTCTTAAGATATTCAACTGTTCATAAAATTCATCTTTAGATAGTCTCCCAAGATTGCTGGTTAGTCAGATATTAGTGAATTCAGGTAGATCAGGAAATCTGAAGATCTTAAACTAGTCAAACATTCAATTGGCTCTCTCAAGATGGCAGATCGGTTAGGAAGCACTTAAAGATCTCCAGCTGATCGAAGATCACAATAAAGTCCTCTGGATATTTTTCAAGGCTTCAGGTTGATCAAGTATTATTGTAAAGATTAAATTCAAGAATTCAAAAGATCTCCAGCTAATCGAATATTTCAGTGTGAATATTCAATTGGATCAAGTTTTATTCTAAAATATCCGATTTTGATTACGTTCTTCATATTCAACATATTCAGGAAGAAGCTTAAAATCTGAAGTCAAAAACTTCGTTTATTTAACAAAAATCTTCATTTGCCAGCTTCCGCATGTCTTGAAACAACTTCACAAATCATGAGATGTCTTCAAAATGTCTGCATGAAAAAAATAGCCTCATAGAATTTTAAATGTCTTCAAAATGAAGATATGTTTTTTTTTTAATCTAGTGTCCCTAGTATTGAAGGAATCTCAATTTTTTTTAATCTTTCTTCGAAGTAGATGAAACATACGAATATTAAAACAATTCCAGAACAACATGTGAAAAAGGCATACAAGCTTTTTGTAAACAAACCTTCTTATGCCCTTTTCTTGCCACCCATATGACACCTACGTAAACTTTTAACATCACCGGGTAGGGGACACTTTCCCCTTCCCGATGATATTGCTGGTTTGCGTGGGCGACCCTCGGTTGGTGAGAAAAGGGCCTACAAAGGTTTGTTCCAAAAAGCTTGAATGCCCTTTTCATATGTTGTTCTGGAATTTACTATCTTTGTTCACTTCCCGGGATCCCGGGATTAGCCGGGATATCAAATAGATATTTCCCGAATCCCGGGTTTTTGGAAACCACCGGGAGATGGAAGCTCTAGTTTTGACCACTGATAACTCTGTCAATAGTGGATGGATTTTAATTATAGACAAGCCAATCGATTGGAAACTTTTCAACAAATCTGTTAACATGAACACTTTATCAATTTTCAATATGTCACTGTTGAAAATTATTCAAATGTTCAGTCGTTGCAATGTAGATCAAAATTATCCTCGATTGCCTGCAAATCGAATCTCATCTAGTCTCGCCAAACGGTGCTTATTCAATCATTGTGTATGGTGCTGTCCGGTCGGTCGTCATCAGTAGCAGCAGCAGCAGTACTTTCGGCGCGTGGCGTTGAACATTGTTCTCCAGTACACACTGGAAGACTCTACGCAAGCAGCGAGCTGCAGCCTACATGAGTTTCCATTCACCGAAGAAGGAGGAAGAAGCCGCACCGCTACTAATCGGATTCAGTAGCTCTTTGTGAGTCCCTGTGAAACTTTCTCGCGTCGCGTTTTGTCAGTGTCGTGTAGTTCTTGCAAAACACATAAAAAATAAGTATTTTCTGGACATTTGTCAAGGTCATCAATCGGATGTCAGTTCTCATAGGTTTATATCTAACATCCCAAGTAACAATTCTGCAATCATTTGGCATCCACTCTTATTTATGATGGTTTTGTATTGGCAATGAATAATCCATTCAGTTTATTCCTGCTTAGTAGTGCATCTTTTCGCTGTTTTAAAAACCATTTACAGTCTGGCGAGAAGTCAAAAACTGTCTTTTAAATTAATTTTAAAGTAGTTCTCGGCAGCCCTACTTTTGCTCAATAAAACAGATGAAATTATCCTTAATAAGTAAAAAAAATCTCCTTAAAATAGATCGGGTTGCTCCTTAAATGATTGATCAAAATACGTTAAAAATCTTAAAATGCTCAGTAAATATTTAAAGTACGCTCCCTAAAATAGACTGTACATTAAGCATTTGAAAATGCTCCACCGCTTTGCACCATTTTGAAGTGTAATTGTACCATATATCGTCGGAAAAGCTGCTGTAGAAAGGTTAATAAGTACCATGAAATCAGCTGAAAAAAATGCACAAATGCACACAATGATTTACTGTCAGTTTGATCGTTTGTTTTTTAACCTACCTCAGGTTCAGGTTCGCTATTAGAAAATTTAGCTAACATACAAATTTCAAAATTGTTTGTTAAACCTTCGGTCGACCACCATATGTTCATGCGGGGGAACATTACAAATCCTGTTTACTTTTTACTTTAATAGACTCTAACATTTTTGGGTGTACGGAATAAACGTTTTGGTACATTCACTGTTTATAAAAATTGCCTTTAAACATAGCGTCATCCACTTTTTTCCCCTAAAATGTGTTGCAGTGCTTTCTATGCAGTCCTTCATTAAAAATACCAAGCATCTCTAATCTCTAAAGAATGATTTAGTAAACTAACAAAGAAGACACGATGTGATGCCAAAACAGGAAGGCTCTATAAAACAGCAAAAAAGGTTATCTTCCATTTAATTCCACTTAATTAATTTTGGTATCCATGACAGATACGTATTTCGACTACAATGTGCAGTCTTTATCAGTGTCATTCCCACTGTTTATGCGTGGAATGGCTGTAAACGTGATGTTTAATGCTGCTGAAGACTAACGTCCAAGGAAATTGTTAACCCCTGATTGAAATTTAAAAGTATCTCTACTGCTAAAATATTCTTCATTCAACTAATAGATATATGTTTTTTTTTTTCGAAAAAAATTTGTTGGCCGAATTTACTCTATATGTATCTGGGAATGAGCCTTTAAAAGCATAAAGCCGTCCGGAACTTATTTAAAAAGTTATACGCAATTCAGTGAGTGCATGTCAAATGGCTGAACATGTCAAAGTTGAACTTAAAATGCTTCTACTGAAAAGTAGTGTTTTCAAAATCGCCGTGCAATGTACAGGTCAGAGTTTTCATTCAAATCGATTCCGGTTTTCTGTTTTATGTTCATAATTAAATTCTCCACAACATGAATAGAAAGATTTTTTAGATTTGTTTGTTATAACATGTTTTTTTTTTTTCTAAACAAAGTCGAAAAAATAGGGTTTTTTAATTTTTTTTTCAACTTCAAATTTTTTTGTGAAAAAAAACATTATTTTTACATACGAATTAATTCATGTTGTGCGCTGTACCTTCAAATTTAATGTCCTGTTTTTTTTTTTTGATCATGGACGTAGGGACTGCACGGCGCGAAGTGCTGCTTTAAAAAATTGACTTCACATTATTTATAATAATTGGGCTAAATTGCAAAATTTAAAAAAAATGTCACTGATAATTAATCTTCATTAAATCCTTAATAACATACATTAAGAATCGCTAACATTCATTTATTTCAATACTCGCAATCCACTCTCAAAGATAGGCCTCATTTTAGGCCTTCTAATTGTACTTCCCCCCTTAAGCATTCATCAATTATATTTCATTTCCTTTAAAAAAGTTTCTCACATGTACAGTAAATTTATCCATTGAGCTAATTAACCATGAAGAGTTTTTGAGTGGGTTGAGTTATTTCCTTTTAATGCCAGATGTGCTTTAGTATTTGGCACTGAGGATGTTTACAAGCAAAATTAACGCAATTATTAAGAAATAACTCAATCAAAAGATCTTCATAAGGGATTCCAACTAAAAGATATTAATGAACCACATTTAAAGTAGTCATCTGTATCCGATTGCACTACTCTTGAATCTGTTGGTTTATCCATTCGGTATACAGACTATTTTTCGTGTAAACTCCTGGAATACCCGGTGTACCGCATCCGATGCCCCAAGCCACAATTCCAGCCTGATAGTAGCGATTATCGGATCCCGGGAAAGGACACATGAGTGGTGATCCTCCATCACCGGTGCAGGCGTCGATTCCATCCTGGCCACCGGCACAGACAAATGAATTATGCAGCTTATATTTTGATCCAAGTCTAGTGGTTCTCAAAGCATCCTCACAGTTTTGATGTGTCACCATTGGCAATTGTATTTTTTTAAGAATAACTTGATAGCTATCAGAAGCATAGTTAGTCTTGCCCCAACCGGTTACGAAGCAGTCATCGTTGAGAAATGTCATGCCTTGTGGAGGTAAACAGATCAACTTTACATTTTTATCGGCATAGAAAGGGTTTTCTAGTACTAGCAGTGCTATATTATTGAACTGGTATGCCGAGTTGTAGTTGGGATTTATGATAATGGTTTGAACTTGTTGATCCTGTAATGCAAAAAATAGTACTGTTAGTAAACTGAAGCGACATATTACATTTTTATTTTGAAACCACTTTACCTGATGTGGCAGAACTTCGTTCTCAGTTCTAGTGTCCCATTCGCCAGCACGAACCGTCAGAGGTGCAGCCTTTTTATTCTTTACACAATGAGCAGCGGTCAGTACCACATTGGGACTAATCAATGATCCACCGCAGATGAATGTGGATATTTCCCTGCCAAGCATCTCTTTTGTTTCCAAGATGGCCACCATCCAGGGGAATTCTGCAAATTCTGTTTCATTGTGTCCATTCATAATCCTGAATCCAATACCATCAGCATTCCGGTAGCCACAATTGTCAAAGTTTTCGTCAAGATCAAATGATGGGGGTGGCACGCTCATACTGTTTTCAGTTGTCATAGTTCCTCCTGATGTAGTCTGACGTGGACCATCGTTTTTGACATCGTCCTTATCGCAGCACACCTCCAGGTAATGGTCACATTCGCTATTACCATTGAACCTTTGAAATAGACAAATAAATAAACGTTATATATTACAAATTTTATTTGAGATGAGAACGACTGCTGCTAACCTTAAATCGATAATAGCCTCACCACCAAAGCTATTCGCGCAATTTGCCAGGGGAACGCATTCACCGTCACACTGTAATTCATAAGTTAAATGAAAAACTAACAGCCTGGCTTCTTATCACATTTACAAACCTGACTCTGAACGAACGAAACGCATCCCAGTGTGGCAGCTATCAGCATAGAAGCTCGAACAAACGACGGATGATGCTTCATGATGGCTGTCTGATTGATACTGTGGCGAGGACGATTGAGCCAGTGTAACCTCATGCATTATTTTTGTAAACGAATTACCGTCAGTTGGTGTTTGTGTGTTCAAATCGTAGCATTACCGGTAAAGAAGGTTTTTTTTGTATTAAATACATCACATATCATTGACATCACCGCACCAGATAATTTCCTACGGTAACGATTATGCTTTTAAAATTCGAATACTCTGAGTCAGAGTGTATGAAGGTCCTGTTGGAACATGTTATAAAATTTTATTTATTACTAGCTGAGTGTACCCGTACTTGCTCGGGATTCAATATTGGCTTGAGTTTATGCGCCAAATAAAAAAAAGCATACATTACTGTACGTAGCCCCCCCCCCCCTTATATAAAGGACTACCCCCTATGACTACCACATGCCAAAATTGGATCCATTTGCTTGATTAGTTCTCGAGTTATGCAGAAATGTCTGTTTCATTTGTATGGGAGCCCCCTTTTACATAGGGGGGAGGGGTCTTGAACCATCATTAGAACCTTTCCCTGCCCCAAAAACCCCTGCATACAAATTTTCACGCCGATCGGCTCAGTAATTTCCGAGTCTATAAGGGTCAGACAGACAGACATACAGACAGAAATTCATTTTTATAGATATAGAGTTTTCCAAAGCAATATAAGTTCGTACTCACAATCACATATGGTAGCTCATATGAACAAGAAGCGTTGTGATTGTTTGCACCATTCGTTACTGAAAATCAAAAGTAATCCCTATTTGGTACAATTCAGCTATTTTTATACTTTGGACACCTTCATATTTCGGACACTTTATAATTATATATTGAAATACCTATACACCTGCATTCTATCTCAAAATTGATCGTACACTCTAAAGGAAATTTTTTTGATACATGGTGGGTAATTATATTTTTTTAATCGTGGCTGGTAGTTAAACAGATGTTATTTTTTGGATTTATTGCTAAAGTTTTGGTTTTTATTGGAAGTAAGATTTGTTTTTGTAAAACGCTCGATTTTTAATTTTATTTCCTAGTGGACGCGTTCAAGTAAAATTAGTGGCATATTAATGATTTTTCTTACGACTAAAAATGAGCGAAATTTGAAGAAGTTAAGATCATTTTATTTCAAGAAAATAAGATTTTTCAAGCAAAAGGCGTTTTTCTTAAATTTCTCTAACTTTTTGTAAACTCAACCAAATATGCTCAATACTGAGTCAATAATTGATAAATGTATGCAAAGTCAGCTTCCAAAAATTCAGAGAAATATCTTTTTAACTTGTTTTAAGAGCCGTTTTTCTAAAATTTAAGTACAGCTGAAGCATTGCTGGAGAAAATATTACAGCACTTCCAACATTCTTAAAAAATAATGTGACTGAATTATGAATCACAGTTTTTACACAACATTTTTACACTGATTTTTCCATAGCAACTTCAACTAGTCCCAAAACTGGAACACCTACCCTTTAACATTGGTTATTTCTCTACATCAATGCAAAGCACGTGCTTGACAAGCGCTGTTTCATTTAAATTAATCAACAAGGATCTGCTAATAGACACATTTGCTTTTTTGCATCTATACTTTGATTGTGTTTGCTGGTTTCCCCTGTGCGATTGTCAGTAGTATATGTTAATCGCCAAAATGACTATTAATTTGATAAGGCAAGCGAAATTCCCCATTACAATCAATTGTTTAATAAACGATTTGAAGTAACTGACGGAAACCTTCAACTATACTTATCAGCAGGACAGCAGGTTTTTTTTCTGTTTTTTGTGAGTTTTCATCTTAAAACATATAAGAAGGAAATCAGCATCACTTGCAATGAACGGTACGTGTCAACAAAGGGAAAACTTCTAGCAACCAAGATAATGTCAATATGACATGACGAACACTCACTGCAACACAACACTGATAGTTAATAGAGTAAAGGTAAAAGCTACAAAGCGAGTGATTGCTCAAATGGGTTCTTGTTCCTTCTGTTATATAAACTGTGTAATTATATGAGCTTAGGATCCCTTTTGATCCTGATTGGAACCAAAAGACACCTTCTTGCTTTCCCAACATATTTACCCATATATATTACACGACAGTTTATAAATTGAATTTCAGTAAACCTCCTTCCAACTTAACTGTTAATTAATGTATCTAGGGTAAAGTAGTATAATGCACCCCTGCTGGGGTAAATTGGTCCCGCCTGATTTTTCAATGTTCTTTAATTCTTCATTGTGGGATTTTATGTGCAGAAATGCTAGTTTTCCGGATGGAATTCCTGCTGTTGTTCTCCGTCGCTGTGCAAACGCAGTAGCTGAGCCGTTAGCTTTCATTTTCAACCACTCTTTTGAGCAAGGAGAATTTTACTTGAGCTGGAAACTGTCTTACATGTTTCCTGTGCACAAAAGCGGTGACCGGCGAGATGTAAGAAACTACCGTGGGATAACCAGCCTTTCTGCCGCTTCGAAGCTATTCGAGATCATCGTCAGCGATCATATTCTGCGTACTACGAAGACCCACTTCTCGACCGATCAACACGGATTCATTCCCAGCAAGACCTACACACTTAGAAAAAATGATGTAAATTTAGGTGCTTTGAGAATGACATATACGAGCGTCAATTTTGACACAAATTTGAGTCATAACAGAGGCGAAATATAGCTTAATCAAACGTACTTTTCGTCTAGCAACGAACTTTTCAGTCTCGGACCACTTAATATTACATGACATGTTTGTTTACGTTTCATATTTTATGTCAAAGATGGATTCCATCATGTGTAAAATTAGTTATTTCTATGTGTGTACTAATAGTTGAGTATTAGTTCAAGACAATGCAGAAGTCTGCACATTGTAGACGAAATACGCGTATCTGTCAAGGATAAGCAAATAAGGTAGTGGAATTAAATAGAAATTACTAGTCTCTCTCTCTCTCTTTATACAGGTTTTCCACTAAGACGCCCACATTCATCAGGATTCATATATGCTGATGATCTAAAGATATATGCACATCAAAAAATTATGATTATAAAATGAGACGTAATTGAAAAACGGACTTAGTATTGCATGACGTAATTCGAAAATGCGTGTACTCAAAACTATGGTAGCACACTTTTTTTCGGTGTGGGATGACTGAAAATTACACGAATGAACGCTGGCCCAACGAATACGAAAACTTCAACGTCGTCGGTCGTGAGCGCTTCGTTAATGTGAAGTGACTTGAAAATCAGAAGAAAAATGGTGTTCAACTGTAAATTTGTGATGTAGCTATCGCAAATATAGAATTTATATTAAGTATGTTCGGTTGAATAAAAATAATATCCATTTTGAGTGTCCAATTGTAGTTTCTAATATAAAAAAAAAATAAAATGTTATTTTCAGTGTGTGGAAACAACAAACGAATGCACTACATTTTTGCAGAGAAAGTACGACTGTGCGAAGGAACAGCAAATGTGGCTGCCGCTGTTGTGGATTTAATGTGAATTCATTATATTCATAACTTTCATCTGAAGTTCCAAACTACACACTGAGAAATAACTAATCTTACATCTTTGACATAACTGATGAGACGTAAACAAACATATCATATAAAATTAAGTACACCGAGACTGAAAAGTTCAAAAATTTGTTTGATTGAATTGAATTTCACGTCCATTGTGACTCAATTTTATGTTAAAATTGACGCTCGTATATGTCAGTCGCAGAGCACCTAAATTTACATAAATTTTTCTAAGTGTGTACTTTTAATATTTGTACAAACTTTTATTTTAGGTCTACTGAATCCAAGCGCATGTTAAAAGAGTCAATCATGCATACGTAAACAATGACAGTGAATGCCGATTTTTCACGGATTAAAACTCATTCAGGTAAACCGACATCAGCATCTGGTAATTGAAATTTACTTTATCAGGATCTAGTACACAGAAAAAAAAATCTGAATTTTAACTATCGCGTAAAATCTCCATTCGTTTAATGTCGAGCTATACTTGTGTGACATGTGCGTACCACATGTCATTGCTATTTTTTTATCATGCACTTTTAGCAGACCACACTTGTGGGAATATGCTGCGTAGCTAAATCACACCCAGCATTGAACCTTCAGTTCAATGCTTGTTCAAACCTACTCAGCATTTATGACGACAAATAAAGGTGTCGTATGATATAGCATTATATACTCGGTGCATCAAGTGTCTCCAACTTAGACTCTATATGAAAAATAGGAATCAGAATAAATTAATTACTTTTCAACCTTCAAACGTGACGTGTCGTGGTTAGTAAAAGATATCACGGTCATGAGTCCGGGAGCCAGGACCCAACACTTGACATAAACAGCGAAATCGTTTACAAGCTTGCACACAATTTTGCTTATTAATGCGATATTGCGCTTAAATTTACCCAAAATATCGCGTAGATTTATGCCAAATCTAGTGTTAATTTTATGTGCGCTATATGTCACAGAAATTTACATGAATTTTTCGAACAGTGTAGGATCTGTCGATTTTTCTGAATGAGTTCTTAACCAAGAATCATGGACGTTTAAAGTCATTGTCCACATTTGATTCATTGCATCTTTTCACATGTTGTGAAGGAATTAATAAATCTGTAATGTTAATCCCTTTCCTATAGCCATTAGACGGAACATTCCGTAGGCAGCTGAAAAATACGTCTCATTATAATGTTACAGGTCAACAAACTGTAACTGTAACTGTAACAGGTCAACGAGAAAAATTACAATTTTGCTTCATTTCACGACATTTAAAAATACTAACGGAGGAATTGTATGTAATTTGAGTCGCTTACATGTGTCGGTCTTAGGAGACTTAAAATTACATGAAGTAGGCTGCATCGAGGATTGCCTTCACCTGAAAATGTTGCTCAACATGTTTGTTCACTGGTGTCACTCGAATAAACTTGTCATCAGCATCGCAAAATGTCTCGTGACCTTTCATCGTTCGAAAGACCCGATAATTTATGAATATGTGTTGGATTCTTCAAAGTTCTGCTTCCATTCCCATTACGCATCGATTATTTCCAAGGCAAACCGTCAAC